GAGGCCAAGGCAGGTGCCAGCCACAGCAGCCACGAGAGGGGGGCCGGCGCGCAGAACGGCTGGCCCTGCGGCGATGGCAGGACCTCGGCCTCCCGACACCCACAGTCGCGGGCTGCTGCGGGTCTCCGCAGCGCAGCGCAGCGCAGAGCGGGGCCGCCCGGGGCTGGGGGAGTGGATGGGATTAACCCACTCATCGTCTGCAGCTTCGGGGATCCCTAACTAGTCAGACCGGCTGCTCCTGCTGCCCTGCCTGGCTTCCCCTGGGCTACGGACCGACGTGGGCTCAGGCTTCAAACCACATTGGCATTGTGCTCTGACGTCTCCCTCGTTTCTAAATGTATCCCTATGCAGGGAGCCGTCCCTCGTTACAGAAAGCAGAAATAAAAGGGTGGGGGCAAGCGGCTCGGCTGAACCGAACTACAGCTACGATGAAAACCACAGCTAACATCTCGGGCACCTGCCATGTGCTGGGCACTGGGCTAGGCGCTTTCCAAATTCAGAGTTTGGTTCTTATAGCAACTCTAAGAGATTAGGGGTGTTATTCGCCCCATTTTACAGACGGGGAAACTGAGGCAGTCAGCTGTTAAGTGACCTGCCTGGGGTCACAGCGCTAGGAAATGTCTGAGGCCGGATTTAAAGGCAGGTCTTCCTGATTCCAGACCCAGCTCTCTATCCATGGTGCCACCCAGCTGCTCCATGTTGGCAGTCGGACATTATATAACGTTCCCCACCCCTACGAGGAAGGCAGGGAGGTATGCTTGTTATTTTTTGAGACTGAACTTGGTAGTGAACACGGCAGAAGAAAGAGCACTTTCCCTAAAGTCAAAAGACCTGGGTTCTAATCCACCCTCTGACACATTGGATGATGGCATAGGTGACAGAAGTCAAATTAGCCCCATTTTAGAGATGAAGAGACTGAGACCCAGACCTACTCAGGGTCTCTTTTGTGGGGGGCTTCATATTTCCATTGTTAGAGTCATTGAGTATCTAGTTCCCCAGGCTCTCTCTTCTCCCTGCATCATCTCCTTGGGGTCTGACCCCCAAGTTTTGCTGTGTTTTCCACAGCTTCATTTCTTTTTGACTCGGTTACATCTCATTTCATTCATGGTGCACTTTGTTTATTCCTTTCCCCAGTCAATGGGTCCATGCTTTCAAAGATGACTCAACACAGGAAGACCTAAATAGAGAATTGGGGGAGGGGGGTTAGGACCCTAAAAAGCTACAAGTAAGGTCACTCCAAATGCTCCGTAGTGGGGGCCCTCTCTTTCCTCATTTCTAAGGCTGGGACCATCGACCTTCCTGGCTGGGGTGTCTGAGCTGCTCACCTAGAATGATGGATAGAGCCAAAAGGGCAACTCGGATCTAGGCAACCTGGGTACTTGACTCAGTAGTTCCATCTGCCACCTGCTGCAGCTCTCAATCATGGAAACCCTGGAGATCCACATTGGGGTCCCCAGTGCTGTTCTCTGTGGCCATGATCTTCAGCCCTCCTTCAAGCCCCCTTCCCTCTATATTTTTCTCCCAGCAAGTAACCCGTGTGAGTCCCTTGGGCACCAGCATCCACCCTGGCTGGGGTGAGAGACACTGGGATCCTGTGTACTGTAGCCGGCCTCTGGTGGCTTTCATCTGTAGTGAATGGAAAAAGCCACAGCCAACCTGGTGAGGATCATATTGCCACCAGAGGTCCCAGCCTTCTCCCCCTGGCCAGCTCAGGCTCTTTCTGTGATCTAGCCAGACCCGGGTCCCTCCTCCCTCTTTGGGGCCCAAGGCTGCCCAGCCAACTGGAGAGAATCCGTGGCCTCCGAGATACGATCAGCCTGGGATCCGGGGGCGATCGCCAGTGCCCTATGGGCAAAGTCATGGTTTGGGAGGGTGGAGATGAATGGCCACGGACCACAGGGAAGGCCTGACCATAGCTACCTCTCAGCACCCCAAGGACCTAGGAAGCTCCGGGGCTGCTGTCAGCCCTGTGTGTGTGTGCACCTTGTTCGGAAGGACATGCAAACATTGACCTCCAAAGGAAAAAGCATGGTGTGCGGGGCGGTCCAAAAGACCTGGATCTGAATACCACCTCAAACACAGGTGAAGTCCAGTAGACTCTCTGGGCTTCAGTTTCCTCATCTATAAAATGGGTGTGTGGATTTGATGATGTCTAAGGTCCCTTTCAGGTCTAAATCTGGGATCCTATTTGGGGGGAAGGCTTCTGTTTAGACTGGAAAGGAAGAGTTGGGGCGGGGGGAGGTGATCTTTTCTTGAAGGCTCTTGCTGCCTCCTTGAGCTGATGATGGCCAGACTTTGTCTCCTGGTCAGGATGGAGGGGGTGGTGAGAACTCTCCCATGAAAGGAAAGCCTGGGCCAGGATAATTATTGGGGCTCCACTGGGGTCAGAGCTCAAACGAAGGGGACACCTAGAGTGAGTGGGGGCTCTCCTGATGAATGGGAGTGCTGAAGGGAAGCCAAGGGGAGGCCTCCTCATTGAGGCAGCAGCTTGACCTCTCTGCCCTTGACCCCTCCCATTTAAATATAAAAACAACAGTGGGCCAAACAAAAGACCTGACTTATTTTATGTCACGTGGTTCACATAACAGCCCTGTAAGGTGGATGTTACCCTCATTTTACAGACCAGGAAACTGAGGCTGAGTGACTTGCCCAGGGCCACCCAGCCAGCAGGTGTCTTGGGTAGGGTTTGAATTCAGGTGTTCCTGGCTCCAGGCCTGGCACCTCTGACCAATAAACCACCCGATTTGCTTTTCTGTCAACAGTGAAGACGGGTCCTCTGGATCTAAACGCAGGGTTTGTCCCCCTGCCTAGACTCTCAGTCCAAGAATAGAGACTATAGTCAAACCCCTGGAGAAGAGGTTACCGAAAGAGAAAAGAGAAGAGGGCCCGGGGTCAAGCCCTGGGGACACCCACTGGACAACAAGGTAGATGAGGCCACAAATGGATCTCTCTCCTCCGGTCTTCTGCTGTTACCACTTACTGATGGCCTGTTGATAGATTGATGAGGATTTCACTTCAGGTTAGTCCGTGTTGAAACTAAG